TACCCATCTTTTGTCAAGTGCAATTTTCTCATTTCTACAATTTTTCTTCATTTAAATATAAATTTACTCTTCAAATTTCTTCAAATAAAAAATTGTCTTTAATAACAATATCTTTTATTTCCTTCATTAAAAATTCAACTGCTGTAGAAACTTCTTTTCATTCAGTTTTACTATTTAGAAGAGTCCATTTGAAACAATTTAATGCTCTAAAGTTCACTACCCATTCTTTTATATATTCATAGAAAAGTTTATAAAAAATTTTAACTTTTTTTTTATTATTTTTTTTTTTTTTCGGGATTGGAATCTTCCAAAACGTTCAATTTATTGGCTTTAATATAGCCTTTAATATTATATGTATTAGTATATGTATATATAAATTTTTATTTAAATTTGCCTCTATTTTGCTTTTTTATATTTTTCTGCATAAATTGGTTTTTGTCACTCTATTTTTCTGAACTTATGTGATTAAATTTGTGTTTTCTCTAACATATTTTCTCACTCATCTTATCTCATCTGTTCATTCTCACTTTTTTTTTTTTTTTTTTAATTTTTCTTAGCGTTACTTCTTTACATTTTTGTTCTAATTACAACTTTTTTAATATTATTGTTCCTTATATATATTTTTTTTGCTACTTGTATTAATGTAGTTTACTTTCTTTATTATTTCTTTGTTTTAATTTTTTTTTTTTTATATGTTTATTTTATTAAGGTGTTGCTCCATTGACTAGTTTTTAATATGAGTGACATCGAACCTAATTTGTAAATTATAATTAAATTTGTAATTTTTGATTTTATGGTTAGTTAACCACAAGCGCATGCGTAGTATGTACAACAAAGCTTTTTTATCCTTTTATTTAATTATATAAATGGATAAAAAAACTTTGTCGTACATACTACGCATGCGTCAAGACTGTCAAGCATGCCTTATATACTTAAGATCAAATATTAGCTTGGGGATTACAAACACAAATATATTGGAGAGATAGATATATTCATCTCTTTTTACAAATGCAATTTCGACGTTGTTAGAAAAAGAGTACCTATCTATCTCTCCAGATGCACAATACGACCTCTCAATTGTGCTGAAAAAGACACCCATATGTGCGCGCAAAATTCAAATCACTGAAATTAAATGTGTGCGCAAAATTCAAATCACTGAAATTAAATTTGTGTCTGGTGTTTGCCCTGTCCTCTGACGTGCCGGAAACGGCAAGCAATATGCGCGCGTTAAATTCAATTCACTGTCAAAATAATTTTAAATACTCAATTAATAAAACTGTAATGAAATAATCTAAAAAAATGTTTTAGAAATACAAATGAGTTCAAAATTATAAACAAGAGTACAGGATTTGAAATTAGTACGGTTTGTGAAAAAAGAGTACAAAACGCAGTAAAAAAGTATAGTTAGTCACCTTAATTATCTACATAATTTTTTGGTTGATTTCAAAGTTCTTGCAAAAGATGGTTTAACCTATGAAAATATTGAGTACAAAATCAATTTTGCTGTAATCATATGTGATGCACCAGCTAAAGCATTTGTTAATTGTATTAAGGAACAAAATGGTTATAACTGATGTGAGCGTTGTGTTAAGAAAGGAGAGTGGTGTGGCAAGATAATTCTCCCACATATTTCACTAATTTTAAGCGCTAATTCAGATTTTTTTTCATCAAAAGCATTCTGAATATCTTAATGGTGTGTTAAATTGAATCAAATTTTGACATGGTGACAAAGTTTCCTTTAGACTTTATGCATCTAGTATGCTCGGGGGCATGCGAAGACTCATTAACTTATGGTTAAATTGCCCAAATGTTGTAAATTGTCTCAGGTTACAGTCAATACTTTATCTGGCGGATTGTTCCAGATAAGTCATTACATTCCAATAAAGTTTTGTAGAAAATTAAGGTTTTAATTAGATATTAAAAAATGGAAAGCAATTGAATTTAGACAATTTCTAGTATACACGGGACCAGTTGTTTAAAGGGAATGGATTAGCCAAAAATTTATTCAAACTTAGATTTTTCAGCTTCTATCTAGTAGCCACGGCACTGTATATATGCTATATACAATATATATCAAATTATATTTAATATAAATATAAAATCATATTTATTTAATAATTTTATTTAATTTATTTAACAGTAACTAAAGGAATGTTATCAATTGATTATATGACTGATAAGCATGTGCTTAACTATTACAAGTTCATTTTAAAACGTTGAAATAAACGTCGGTTATAAAATTAAAGGTTATGCTTTTCTACCTTCAATGGTGAAAATTACATTATTTATCTGAAGAGTGTTGGTAGATACTGCAAAAGTTTTATAACATATTAAATTTAATGTATGTGAAAGCTATAAAATTTAAAACTAACAGTTAAATTTAAATTTTTTACAGCTCATATTGAAAGTAAATATTGTGTAAAGAGGTTTTTAAAGAAACCGTTTTGACAATAACCGTGAAAGAATTCGATACATGACTAAAGAATCGTTTAAAAGTTTGCTTTATTTGAACAGTGTAATTTTTAATTACTATTTTTTGAAATAAACCAATCAATTTATAAATAAATTTGCTTTTTCTGTAAATTTTAAACATTTAAACGTAGTTTTACAAGATTTTCAATGGGTAAACCCAGTAAACCCAGACTCTCAAGGGATACCTGGCGGGCATACCCATATGGGTCCCAGAGAAAAAGCGCGATCCATATGGGTCCTATTTGCAAACCCAAATGGGCCCCTTACGGTTTTAAAGTACGGGATTTTGACCGGGAGCCGTACGGAATCCATATATTTTTTTTTAATTTATTTAGGTGCCCTAAGAAGACCTAACGATCTTGCCACAGAGCACCGCGGAAATTCATTTAACCAGGAAGTTCAGGCCTCCTTCCTTACCGTGACGTGAAAACATGTCCAAGGCTCGTTTCGAACCCGGATCTCCTGTTTATAAAGCAAGCGCTCTAGCCAATGCAAAACGGTCGCACTGATATAACTAACTACCCATTAAAAATACTCTAAAATATTTTAATATCATGAAATGTAAACTTTGAGTAAAATTAAATTTTTGCAAATAATAAATTTCAAATTTATAAATAAAATTTACCTTTTTTAACTTTACAAACAAATCCATAAAGATTATCACAATCTGCATCATTCCAGCCATAAGAATTTATTTCAACGCAGTGCTCTTTCACTAAATAATTATCAGGTTGACCCGGCCTCCAATTAAAAAATAACGGAGCTGTATTATCAGACCAAACAAAAGATCTCTGAAGAGTATTGAGACCTTTAAAAGTAATAAAACTTATTTACAAAAAATTGTTAAACTTAAGTTTTTGTAGGTCAAATTATTAAAAGAAAATAACAAACCAATCCAGAAAAAGCTATTTATGCTGTTATTTTTGAGGTAGTTTAAAATAAATAAATTTTCTGTTTGATTTGCTACACTCAACAAATTTCCTCCATTATTTAAACAATATGAAAGAGAGTTTATCCAATTCTTTCCATTTAGTGCGGCATTTCCATTTTGAAATAGATAACAATAGATTCCATTCTTAATCCACCCATCAGGACAAACTTGACCATTAAACTCTATAAAAGTTCATTAAAATATCATACTGGTTTTATAAAAACAAACATTTGCTATAAATACTCTAAAAATATTCAAACACTCTTTTTTGATTCAAAATGTTTTTATGTTGATGTTTTTATGTTGATGTTTTTAAATTGATGTTTTTATAAATTTTTTCGTTCAAGTTGCTTTGCAATAAAAAAAAAGGAGGGAAAAAAATTAGAATATTTTTTTTAAATAAACAATATTTTTTATAGAATTAAAACAATTCATTTTATATATTTAAATTTTTTTATGCTTTAGTTTATATTTCACTTGTTTATTGTTTGGAATAGAATATTTGCTTTTTAAACTATTTTCAAGAAAGAAAAAATGATGAACCTTCTTCAAAACCTTTTAATTATTCAACTATTACGAAAATAGTATAACACATATTTTGACAAAACTCTTTACATATATTATCATGCAAATATGTTCAAATATATATATATATATATATATATATATATATATATATATATATATATATATATATATATATATATATATATATATATATATATATATATATATATATATATATATAGGGGAAAGCGGGGGCAACATGGCGAACGTTTTGAAAGCCCTGAGTTGTTGCAAAACTATAAGTCGTGAAGACATAATACTTTCTCAGTATGTTTTTGTTATTAAATTCTTTCATTGTCTGCAAAAATTTTCAGTTTGCAAATATAAGAATTTGAAATAAATATTAAAATAAAAAGTTTATAAATTTGTTAACTGGTCACGTGACCGGGGCAAGATGACTAACTATGCAATTTTTACCTCCAATTTTATAAAAATTTTAAAACTACCAATAACTCTAACTAAAGTAACAAAAAATAAACAAAAATTGCAAAAAACTACTTCTAAAGAAGTTATACTTGAACGGCACCATCCATTATGTGAAACCGAAAGTGAGGAATTTTTTTTCAGGCGCTAAAAGCAAACTTATGTGAATAACATTGCGTTAATAATATTTCAAAAAGCCAATTAGTGTTTTAAAATACAAAATGCAAATACAGTTTCTTTTTCACCCAATTTTAAGATTTTTTGTTGAGTTTTTTATATTAAAACCCATCTTGCCCCATTCGCCATGTTGCCCCGCTTTCCCCTATATATATATATATATATATATATATATATATATATATATATATATATATATATATATATATATATATATATATATATATATATATATATATATATATATATATATATATATATATATACATATATATATATATATATATATATATATATATATATATATATCATATATATATATATATATATATATATATATATATATATATATATATATATATATATATATATATATATATGTATATATATATGTATATATATATATATATATATATATATATGTATATATATATGTATATATATATGTATATATATATATATATATATATATATATATATATATATATATATATATATATATATATATACATATATATATATATATATATATATATATATATATATATATATATATATATATATATATATATATATATATATATATATATATATATATATATATATATATATATATATATATATATATATATATATATATACTCTTGCTTGGTCATTAAGTAAGTTTTCCCATAAAACTTCAAGTTTTTGTTACTTTTTAAAATAAACAATTTTTAATATTTATTTCTTTATTATTTGTTAGACTGCCTGCCCAAGCCAAACCCTCAGATAGTTATGAAGCAATACACTTTTGAAGCCGCAGAGTATATTATTGTTTTTTTTTTCATATATTTTTTACAACGGCATAGTTTTAATAATATATACTTTTATTGCAAATACAGTCAAAATGCTTCAAAAATAACTGATGTACAAAGATATATTTGATGTACAAAGTAATAAAATAAAGTAAAATAGTTTTACAGTTTATATTTTGAAAAGACAAAATAAGTCTAATAAAACAAGAAAAAGTCTAATAAATAAAAATAAACCTTTAAATATATGGTCAGAGGAAACTCGCAGAAAACTGTGAAGTCATGTCATCAAGAATCTTTTTTTTTGAATCACTTCATGAGATACTCATAGCTATTTTATTTATTACTTATTTTAATATAATTAGTATTTCAATATAATTAGTTAATGTATCAACACTCCGTTCATGTTATACAGTAAAAAAAAAAATTACACATTCAGAATAAATTTATTTTTAAAAAAACAAAATAAAATTATTTTAACTTTTTAACTTGCGTTTTTGTGTTTTTTTTTTTTTAATTAAATTTATTTAGTTTCCTCAATTGAATTTATGGCTTATGTTATAATCTAACTCTAATTTGTTCAGTTTAAATACGATAGAGTAGCTAACAGTCGTTTTTTAAAAAAACGGAATATTTAACACCTTTACTATAGGTACATACAGAAGCGTGCATAGGAACTTTTTAGGGTTAGCCAAAAAAAAAAAAAAGTATTTCCTCTCCCTCCCCTTTTTTTAAGATTTTGACTGGAATGAGCATATTTTATGAAAATGTTTAAAATAATTTTTTAAATGACATATAAAATCGCTAAAATGTTCACTAACACTGAAAATATGATTTTTGCAAATTAAAATAAAATATTTTTGGATAATATTCAGCTGAGAAAATATATACAGCTGATGCAATACACATAGGTTATAACTTTTCAAATACAAGATTTCTGTCAAAAAAATTCAAGATCGTTATCGTAAACCCATAGAAGGCGCAAGACAACGATAGAAAATCCATATTAGGCGCAAGATTTTATAAATTTTATTTATAACAAAAATCAAACTTATTAGGTGCAAAAGACTTTTATTATTAACTACATGGGAGCAAACCTGGTTACAAATTTATAATGACTGAAAAAAAAAACGTTTACATCGTAACACAATCTTGCAAAAAAAAAAAATACCAATAAAACTGATATTTATTGTCCTTTAAAAATCTCGAATGAGTTAAACAAATACTTTACAAACATTGACCCAAACATTGCTAAAAAAAACTATAATCACACCCAACTCATTTCAATTATATCTTAAATCGTTAAATGACATAATACTTTATGATAGCAACTTTTTTCTTAAAGAATATGAAACAGCCTTTTCTTTTCTAAAAAAAAATAAATCGCCTGGCTTTGATAACGTTTCTAGTAAAATAGTTATTTTAAACAAAATTTACATTTCCAGATCTTTGATCCATATTATAAAACTTTCAATAAATGAAGGCATTTTCCCTGAAGCACTAAAGTTGGCAAAAGTATGTCCAATTTACAAAAACAAAGATCAATCAGAAATCTCTAATTATAGACCTGTATCAATACTTTCTGTATTTTCCAAAATATTTGAACGTGTAATCTATCATAGAGTTTATAACCATTTTAATGAAAGTAGTTTATTTTACGCAAAACAGTTAAGTTTTAAGCTACCTCACTGAAAGAAAACAATATATTATTAATAAGGAATCAGGTGAACTAAAAATTATGTGTGGAGTTCCACAAGGGTCAATTCTTAGTCCCTTGCTGTTCTTGATATATTTAAACGATTTGTATAATGCTTCAGCAAAACTTAAAGCGATAATGTTTCCTGACAACACATATGTTTTCTTATCAAACAGTGACATTAGGCAACTTTACTCTGACATGAATTATGAATTAAGGAATGTCAATGAATAGTTTAAGGCTAATAAACTGTCACTTAGTGTAGATAAAACAAAGTATACTCTATTCCATAAAAAACCACAACAGGAAAACCTTCCCCATTTAATAAACATCAATAAGTCTGAAACTAGTATATTTTGGCCTTATACATTGTTTTTTTACTATTCTCTTATTACATAGGCTAGTACTCAACCAACAAAACTTGAAGAAATATTTTCTCTACAAAAACATGCATGCAGATTAAAATATTTAAAAAAATACATGAACATGCAAAACCACTAATGAAAGACATGCAAATGATGAGTATACATGAAAGTCATATTTACCAACACTTAATTTTATGTATAAATATAATAACAGCCTGATTTCGAAAACCTTTAATAATAAATTAACGAAAAATGTTAACAACAATTACTCTCTTAGAATAAACCAAAGGAATACTTATAAATTGCCTAGAATTAGGAGCAAGTATTCTGAATATAAAATAGCATACCGTGGACCGAAACTTTGAAACGTATTTCAAAAAACAAAACATTTAAATACGGTAAAATTATTAAACTCCTATAAGTTTCTAAAAAAAAATGAAATTTTTTAAAGATTATAAATAACTTTGCAATTTTTCAAAATGAACATTGAATTCCATTGTTCTTATTTTGAAAAAAAAAATTGTGTTTTTTTATATATTTAAAACAATGTCAGTTTTTTTTAAATGACTATTGTTAAAATTATATTAATACTATTTCCTTTCTTTCTTTAAATGTAAATATTTATGAAAGTTTTTTTTTTTTATCTTTTTATTATATTGGAATTGCACAATTGTATTTTTAACAATCTTATTCTATTTTAAAATTGCAAAGCCCACATAGGAGCTCTATGAAAAGATTGTGGTGACTTTAGTCATCCCTCTGCCTGTTTTTATACATCAACTTTTTTTTTAGTATGTAAATGTTTCTTTGCAATTATATTTTCTTATTATATAATCAGCAAATATATATATGAACTAAAAAAAAAAAAAAAAAAAGATATAATTTACACATGGTTATAATTTAGTGTAAAATACTTCAATTGCTTCAAGATTTTGAATTAAAAAACTAAAAAGTGTTGTATATGGAGCAACAGCGATATGTAAATATCGCTGTTGCTCCATACACAACACTTTTTATAAATAGTTTAATGTTTGAATTTTGGGCAAATTTAAACACATTGGTTCTTGAGATTTCATTTTTACTCATTTTATTGCAGGAAAAATATAAAAGTATTTTAAATTTAGATAATAATTTTACATCTTTAACCCTCAATTTTAATATTT